TGGGGGGTCACGTATTTAACTAGCGTTTGTAAGCACATTTGATTTTGCTTACGCGAGAAACAAGGAGCAACCAGTACGTAGCCCGACGCGTTATAGTCTATAGACTGTAGTCGTTTTTACGTTCACTGTCACTGTCATTCGCCTAATAGACTTTTGAAGTATTTAAACTTCAATTTCTTTATTTTCTCGAATTTGATTTGTACAACTAGTATATTTTTAAAAATATTAAAAAATTTAAAAGGATAACATTCTTTTATACATAATTTATAATTAGGTATAGTACCTATATTCTAATCACTTTAGAAAAAAAAATTTCACTGCTTACATCTTTTTAATACCCACGCCACGCCACTGAACTTGATACGTTTGAAATTAAAAGTGATACGCTCAAATATGTAATAATATTATTCATAAGGCTAAAACCTCTTTCGCACTCAGCTGTCGAACATGGTAATGATGAGATTGTATTTAAAATGGGTTTAAAATTATCTGGTATCAGTTCATTATTTTCTATAAAGGTTCTTAATCCTTGAATAGCTTGTATTTCATCAACATCAAAACTCCTACAAATTCTTCGTAATTCTAATTCTCCATATCTAATACTTCAACCATTTCCAGTTTTTATGTTATTTAAATCTAGTGCTGAAATATCACTAAGTAATTGATAGTTCTCATCCTCTGACCTCGAACATAATCGAGTCGTCATTCTATCTACTACACTTTGAATAAATTGATTTTGATTTATAGCAACAATTTTTTTATTCGGAACAAGTTCAATCTCATTAAATAATAGTTTTGATTTAGCATTTAATGCTAATTGTGTATATTCTCCTGGTTCTTGTTTAAAACTTTCAATTATTCAATTATTCTAATTGTTCTTTTTATTGACTGTTCAGCTTTTGGTAGCGTAATATTGTTCGAGACTGTAATTCATTCGATAACATTGAAAGTTCTTGAAGTACATCATACATTATAATACCTATAGATCTAAAATAAATTCTGGACTTTCAAATCTTTTTTTCAAACCAATAATTACTGCAATTGTATTTTTATCATTACTTTGGTCATCACAAGAATTTTTGAAATGAGAATGAAAAGCAGCAAATGACTTCCAAACTGCTCTTACTGTCCTTAAAATACTGGATATCCATCTAGTACTAAGTACACGACCTATATTATTAAACTGCAGTTATAGATCTTGGCAACAATATTTACCAGAGCATGAGAATATTTTGGCGATTGATTGTACAAACTATATAATTTATCTATAAAGCATTTAAAATGGTCAGTTCCTCGTACGTCTTTTATTGTATCGGATACTGATAGTTTAAGCCTATGATTAAAGCAATGCCAAGTAAAGAGTTTTGGATATTTCTCACGTATAATCGAGTTACTACACCTGAATTGAGTTCTGCTTCAAGTTCACTGTCATTTACCTAAGTGAAGCCTATTGGATAGTAAAATTAAGTCATGTTCATGCAGGTTAAACTGTAATAAACGTCCAATTACACTTATTAGTAAAAGTGTTTCTTGACTAAAACGTTCTTCTAATCCATTTAAAAGGTCATCTAAAACTGTGTAGTACACAAAACATTTCATTTCTGTTTTTTTGTCAGTGGTAAAATGTTGAGTATTATTGCTGTCTATTTGACTAGACCAGTGGCGTCCGCAGGATTTTTCAATGGGGGGGGGGGGTTGAAAATTAGTTACAAATTTATTTTTATTTTGTCCAGTCTAATAATTTCAGACGTTTATTTGAGGTATTTTAAAATATTTGTAACTTTTCAACTTTTCTTGTAGAAAATATGCTCTTATCATAAGCTTCGATGCCCAGTGTATGTTTTTGGAAGCAAATTGGATCTATAGTTGGTACTTTTAGGAGGTCGAAATTGAATCTGCTCCGTGCTTTTAAAAGTACCTAATTGGAACTTATTTAAATTGTTTTTTAACAGTAGCTTGGTTACAGTGACGTATTTATGGGGGGGATATGGGGGTAGATCCCCTCCCTTACCCATTTTTTTCCATGTATAAAGTACAAACTGCTGCAGTACTGTTGTTATTTATAATTTTGTTATTCTGTGGGCATGTGAGAGACATTACACAACATTTATTATTATTATATACCTTACATGGAGTAACTAACAAAAAGTTGCAACAGCACTAAACAAATTTTGATATCCCCCTCCTCAAGAAAATCCTACATACGCCCCTGCTTGGTTATACCGTCCTCACTTGGATTGTATTTGATTAATTAAAATTTTTTTTTTATAAATGTCAATAAAAAATTATTTATCCGGTCAAAAAGCTTAGAAATGTAATACGTAAGTTTTTTTATTATAGCTAAAATATTAACGATACATATGCATTTAAAGTTCAAAACAATTTAACCACAGTTAATTTGTAGTTCAAAACTTATAAAATATAAAATATGTACAGCTAAGGCTAGACAATTTAATACAAGGTCTTTCGTACAAGTAGTTCATTCTTTTACCGAAAAATTACAGATAATTTATGAAAATTGGTATGCAAATACAATGTTTTTTCAAAACTGAATTCATTCTGGTAAGTCATATATGAAATTTACGTCTTGCTTACTATAGTTGACAGTTTAAACTTGATTAATATTTTTTTTTTAAGTAATAATAATACGGGAAATGGGGGGGCTTCAGCCCGTTAGCCCCCCCCCCCCTACGGACGCCACTGGACTAGACACTTTTCTTTGTTTTACATTTGGTATCTCTATTTTTTGTGAACTACAAATGTCCAAAAATTTTTCAAATAATGTTGAATATTTATCTTCATCAGTTCTTAAGTCAGTTAATGATTTCTTTAGTGCTTCAACAATTGATACGGCAGCTAAGAGGTCTAGGTCTGGTGATTGCAACTTTGAGCTAACTATGCGAATTTGAATCAGAATAGGTTTTAAAACAGTTAAAGCTTCTGACCTGCACGCCCATCTGGTTGTCGATAACGATTTTAATGTTTTTAATTTATTATTTGTTTGTTGAGATATTTTTTCTAATACAGAATGTCGAATTGGACTTCCCTCAACAAAACTAAATATCATTTGAACACACCCAAAAAATCAAAAACTACACTATTTTTATGTCCCAATGAGTCCACTAAAACCAGATTAAGGCAGTGACCATAACAATGTATATACCTACTGAATTTGAGGATTTTCAATTTTAATTTTGGCTTTAACACCATTATTTTTGCCAGACAATGTAGCAGCTCCATCAAAACAAACAGCCAAGACAGAACTCCAATCTACATTAATTTTTTCAGTTAAACTGTTAAAAATTGAACTCGCATCCACTGCATGTAAACGTTGTAAGCCTATAAATATTTCAGTTGGTTTATTTTTCGAAGGATCAAAAAACCTTACTACAACAGACATTTGCTTGTTACTTATCAATACTATACAACATAAATATTCACCTCTTAGATAACGATGGCAGCCATTTTATTGGCGACAATAATAATACTGAAGGCGGCTATCTAGTAATTAATTATATATCTGTGGTCTGAATAGAGTGGTTATGTAGGTATATCTAAAATTTTAAATCCAAGGAATATCTTAGCTCCTGCCATCTGAAATCGCACTATGATGAGTACCGTGGCGTTGGTGGAACAGGATTAGTGACTCGAGTCATGAGGGGGTCGAGGGAGGTGCAATAATGCAATAATTCTACAATAATCTTATCAGTAGGACAAAAATATTGTCAATGTCAAATGTGATAATTTACTACACGGCAACCGGCTGCACGTATATTTTGTTCTTTGTTGTTCTCCGTGCAGACGTGAACTCATCTTTTCTGGCTTTCTGCAGATTTTATAGTGTTACAGTGTGTATTACTTATACTAATACTACAAGTATTACTTGCAAGTGTTTTCCAGTGTATTCGCACAGACAGGTAAGCAATAAAATGATTTGTTTTATTTGTAAAGCAGTTGTCAATAATTTGCATGCTTTGGTGGCTCACTTTAAAATAATTCATCTCTTAAAACCGTTTAGCACCTATACTTGTTGTGAAGCATTCTTCTCTTAATCATTTAACTCATAAGTCATAACTGTCTGTCTTCTTTCAAAAGACATATGCTAAAAAAACATGTTACTCAAAATTCTAATAATACAATATTACCACCTAATGAACAGCAAAATAATATACTTAACAATGAAATTTCAAATGAAAATAAAAATAATTTTTCTAATGAGAATAATTACAATCAATGTGTTGATAATATAGTTATTAGTACGTTTGATTTTGAAAATGCAGTTGAACTCTTATAACAGTCCACCGTTAAATTTATTTTAAGTTTACATAATACTATAATAGTAATAACTTTAGTATTAGTGATGTGACGTTCATTCAATCTGAAATGAAAGAAAATGTTTTGAAACCCATGGCCTCATTTTTTAAAAAATTAGTTGAAAAAGAGATTAATGAACCTTAACAACTTTCTACAATTTTGAAATTTGAAACAGTTATATTGGACCCTTTTATTTACTGTAGTACAGAACACCGCTTAAATAATTGGTTAAAGAGAAATTTACTGTCACCTCTGCATCAGTTGACTATAAATAATGAAATTGTGCCTATAGATCACGCTGGTAATATCACATATGATGAAAAAATAACTAAAGGTGCTTTGCTACAATTAAAACAACAATTCAAATGGTATTTTGAACATGAAAATAATTTAATATTCTAACACCCGATGATAAAATTGAAAATAACATTGTAATTGAAGTTAATGTAAGTTTTTTTTTTAATTGAGATGTACCTGCCAGTGGCGTATTTTGAAATTTTTTCTGGGGGGGGTCTAAATATTAGGTACCTACAAGTTTATAATATAAAAAAAACACATACTAGTTACGATGTAATAATTATATTATATTATATTTTTTTCTGGGGGGGTCCAGACCCGGGGACCCCCCCCGTAAATACGCCACTGGTACCTGCTATAATATTTTATTTTAACAGGAATTAAATAACATGCCAGAAATGATGCAATTATTGTATGACTATAATTATCCAGTAGAAGATCTTCAACTTGTGCTTGACTTATTAAAGACATGGAAGTTGGAGTTCTTATATCAAACATTAGTTGGTAATAAATTTAAGTTAAAATAAATTTAATATTTTTTTTTGTTACTAATTATTTGGTATTTAGATGAATTTATTGATATAGAAGCGTTACAAATCATACAAAAGGATCATATTAATGAATTGATATCAAAGTTTCCTATTGGTATAAAAGCAAAATTTACTCATAAACTTCAAAAATGGCAAAAATACAATTCAATTGTAAATTTGCCGGTAAATAATCTTCCATCAATATCAGTTCAGCATACAACACCGTCTATTAAAATATGTTTGCAAGAAGTTTTAAATTCAACAACAACTGGAAAAATGATCTTGGATTACTACAAAAACAATAAAAAATTAAACAATAATATAAGAACTTTATTGGTTGATGCAATTATTAGTTACATAATAACAAAACAAATTCCAATGTCTGTAAATCTGGCCTCCAGTATTGGATCAGATATTGTTGAAATGTTTCAAACTGAAGTGAAGGTATGTTAACTAACAATTATCTAAAATAGTGCAATTAATTTACTAGGTATATATAGTAAATTTAATGTATATATAATTATTTTTGTTCTATAGGATACTTATTTTATGAAAGATGGTTTGAATAAAAATCCAAAAGGAAAGCTATATTCTAAGTATTATAATTCCATGAGAACTCTTAAAATTAGTGGTTTGGTACCCAGTAAAGAACCTTCTGTCAAAACAATATCACACAGAAGACATGATATTGAATTTGGTAAGGACAAAATTATTTTCAAACAGTAGTATTAGAAGAAGTAGTAGTAGTAATTTATTATTTCACAAAATATCATACAAAGTGTTTAAATTAAATATAAATAAAATAATTTGTTTCCAAAAGCAAGATTGAGTAGGAAACAAGAGTTCTAAATTTAGTTTATAATCTATATATATAAAAATGGAGACAAAAAATTCGAAATTGCATCAGTTGAGAACGGCTGGGCCGATTTTGCTCAAACTTTTTTTAAGATGTTCGTAATTGCCAGGTGAAGGTTTTTACGAAAGAAAATTTTTAAAAAGTCAACCGAATAATTAGAAAAACTGCAAAAACTATTTATTGATGTCTGGGATTTGAACTCGATACCGTTGTCTTTATTTACTCTATGGTGTACCTATTATATTATATTGGTTGCTATTGGTTAATCAGGCATGTTTGTTGATTTGTATTATTATTTTTTGTAAATATATCTTATATATAAATGAATGACGGTGTATATATTAGACCTATGGTAAGAAGATACGCTAATTTAAAAAGGGTTAAATTTGGTTTTTTTTATTCATCGGATTTTAGTACGGTTAGGTTAGGTTAGGATTTATAGGTAGGTGGAATTAAGTAAAAACGTCAAACTTGGTATAACTTTGGTACTTTTTGAGTTAAATCATACACTTACGTACAAACAGCACGGGGTCCGCGATCTACCGCAGGTAAATTACCTATCTGATAATGTACTGCTGCAATTCAGAATTTTTATTCCGGGCAACAGAAAAGTTAAGATAAATCTAGAACATCATACACCGAATATTAAATAATGCATTGAACAATGTTTGAGTCATACCTATAGAGTTGGTACATTTAATGGGAAACAAAGTGCACGGGATCAGCTAGTATATTATATAAAGATTGAAGATGAAACAAAAGTAATATACTAATATTAAAAGGTTTAGTTAGTATAACATAAATAAATAATAGGTAGAAACCACCTGTGTTATTAACTAAAGTTTTGTTAAATTTTAATATAGTACAATAATGATATGTAATATTATTTTGACATCCATACCTAACATTGTTAAATTCATTAACATTTAAAAAAAAAAATATGATCAATACATGAAAAAGACTGACTGGATATTATTTCTGGTGGTTTCATTTATACAAGATTTAAATCCATAAGAGCTTAAGATGTTTTGATAACTGATCAACTTTATTATTCTTTGTCGAGTTTTAGTTCATACTTCAAGTTGCCTATTACACCAAAGCATAAAATAAAATTGTAAGCCTTGTTAAAATAATAAATGTTTTTTGTTTATTTTTACTAGAACCTGAAGATGACATAAATTATATCCTGGATAAAATAATGTATGATGATAGTTGCTCGTTTCCTGAACTTGAAAATTTGTGGAAACAAACCACAAAACATAGACTATGTGAAATTCAAAAAACTTCCTCTACTGCCGAAATTCTTCAAAAATGGAAGAGTTATACTCAACCTCTTGGTTATAGACTTGTAAGAATAACATACAATTTAAAAAATGCATTTTACTAACTAAAAATATGTATTTTAACAGATTGATATTGATTTTAATACACTTTACCCTGATTGTCCTGATCTTAAATGTGTATTGGAAATGAAGTTTCAAAAAGTAATTGAATTATTAAACGAACAAACTAAAGACATAGCTAGTAAAAAATTACTGCAAAACCTTAATGACAATATAACTACTATCAGTGAAAGTAATGATTTGAGTAAGTTTTTATAATAATCATATTAATAAAAATATAATTTTATTTTTTAGATGAAAAACATGCAGTCCTGTTTTATTTACTGCATTCAATTTTTGTTCCAACCAGTAAGAAAATAACAAGAGACGATAATGGCAAAAAAAACCTGGTCAAGTATTCAATAAAGGATAGTCAAGACAGTTTTATGATTTTCAAATCCTCAATAGCTGAAATTGAAGAATATATAACTAAGCGTCGTAATGAAAATACACTGATCCAACCTTTTATATTGATTTGTGGTACTCCAAGCAAACCTAAAAAAATAATTGTATTTTTTGATTGTATACAATTTAAACTTTTTTCGATATCATCTGCAATTGATGTATGCTTTAAAATTTTTCATATTTTCAATTTAGAATATCCACCACAATCATCAATTGTATGGCTTTTTATTCAAAAATATTTTTATTTACTCAGTACAAAATATGATAAAGCCTATCATACATTGGGCCAGATTTTATCAGATTTAAACACTGCAGAATGAATTGTACTTAATAGTTATTAACATTTTTTTTTTTATTAATAATAATGCTAATATGAATTATAAATGTTTTATAATAAATAATTTATAATTATAAAAAATGTTGTATTATTTTAAACATTGTAACATGTAGGTACCTAATTTAAATTTTTTATACTTTTTAAAATTTAGAGTAAACTATTATAGAAATGCTTGATTAAATTTTTTTTTAAAATACATAGGTAATAAATAATAATCATACTACTAAAAAAATTACATTCATAAAGATAAAATTCTATGTTGGATTGACAAAATTCTTGTTGATATAGAGCCGACAAGATACCTTGTTATATTGATAATAGTTGAATTAGCATGATCAATGGTACAAAATCAATTATCATTATAATCATAAGTATTGTCATTTTGACAACAAGGTTGTGTGAAATCAATATCTACATCTTATTAATATAACAAAATAATATTATATTGAAAATACTTCAACAATCCATAAATGTTGTTATGATAATACATATATTCATAATGATAATTGATTTTGTACCATTGATCATACTAATACAACTATTATCAGTATAACTAAAGTATCTTGTCGGCTCTATATCAACAAGAATTTTGTCAACCTAATATAGAATTAGAAAGTGATTTTTTTTTATGGGAATTTTAAATTTTGACTTCCCCGGCTCCCCAATGCACCAACGATATTCACTTTTTAATCGAACAAGATACTGAAGTTGAAAATAGAAGCATTATTTCGACTACTTATCGTGTATACAGACACAAAAAAAAAAAAATAAAAAAAAACATCATTGTAAAATTAATACATTCATCGTTACACTCAAAATCTAAAACTTTTGAACTGGTCGATAACGATGTTATAGGAGTAATGAGCGTATGTTCTACAGGCTATATGCAATAGCAATCTATATTTCTATTATACATGGATATACATTATACAATCAAGCCGATAACAAACACTATAATAATCCAATATAACCATTTAGTCCGTATTCCAGGTTTTCACAATTATTCTTATTAATTAAACAAAAATTGGGAAAAGTCTCCCTTCAAATTACACAGCTAGAATAACTGAAAAAAGCAAAACAATCGTTTTCACAAAAAAAGCCAAAATAAAATCGTTTATTTGGAATCAGAATCACGGTAAACAAATGTATGTATAAATATTAGATTTCTATCTTATATATATAAAAAGAAGCATTTCCTTTAAAATCCGATCCCTATTTTTATCAATATTATTTATCTGTTTAATATTAAATTAATTGTATACACATTTAATAAATAATTGGCTTTTTGAAACTAATTTCACAGTAAAAGAACAAAAATATATTAAAATATTTTTGAAAAGAAAAAAATTATCCGCCCGGACAGGGGCTCGAACCCTGGACCCTTAGGTTAAAAGCCTAATGCTCTACCGACTGAGCTATCCGGGCTTATGATAACGAATGGATTTATCAGTAGATTTCAAGAAAATATACGTTGTACCACGGTTCACGGTTGTGTCTATAGATAATAAAGAAAGGACATAATAATATAATATTAACGTCTCGGTGATGAATTAAATATATTAAATATAAAATATATAAAATATATATTTTTAGTATAATCTTAGTCCGTAATGAAATTATACGAATTGAGACCAAATAAGTATACCTATATCGGTTATCTGATTATCCACATAATATTAATATTATAATCATACTGTACAAAAATGTAAGCAAACGGCCTTAAGTTTTTATCTACGGTGGACCACAAAACTATATAACAAAACTGATGAATATGGCGTCCTAATGTCCTATCCATTTCTTTATTATCTCATAATAATAGCACTATTATGAATAACAATTAAATTAAATTCATTGACCGTTTTTCCTTTTGCGTCTCATATGAAAAAAATAATAAAAAAAGGTGGGCTAGTACCAAGTGGATATATTAATCTGCTGTACAATAAGTGCCGAATGGCAATAAATCATTTCTTACGAAAAATGATTCTGAGCGAAGACGGTCAGTCAGTCTATATTACTATTTTATAAAGTAATAAGTATATTATAATTTATTTTACTATTAATAATATACTAATTAATACACGGATTGAATTAATTTTTGCTTAAATTATTGAATTTGAAAATATCATTGTTTGTTTAAATATAATACAAGTGTATATTGGATGTTGCTACTTGTTGCATTTTAACTTTTCTTCTACTGTTCTAATTTTTTGCTAAATCAGTTTTAAATGCGTATTTTATAAGTACAAATGAATAGGTATCTAAAATTTTGATGTGCAATAATATATAGAATACTTACAACCTACTAGTGTAGTAGTGTACTACAATCAATTTTACTAGTTTTTTAGTTGTTAAATAACATACATATTATTAAAATATCTTTAAAAGTTTCAAGTACCTGTATCTACAATACTATTTTTAAATTACAACAAAATAACTAAAAACGTTATTCTATATTTAAATATCAGATTTTGTCTAAATTTGAACATAAAAGGTCTTATAGAAAAAACTACAGTATTTATATTTTTTGGTTTCAATATTCAATAGTTATGAGAAACATTGTACTACATTTTCAAACATCAGCTATAAAATTGAACATTCAATACAAGCTTAATAACATCAAAATAATTTGCAAATGTTCGGGGTTTTGACGAATTTTGTCAAAATTTGAACTTAAAATGCTTATAAAAATAAATCGTGCTTTTGAACTGCTATTATAACAACCTAGGTATATGAGGGAATCTTGTATTGAATTTTGAAGCATTTCGATTTTCGACCATACAAAATGTTTAGACTTTTACAAAAAAAAAAAACTAAAATTTTTCAAAATAATTGAAAATTTCAATTGTCTATAAATAGCTCAAAATATTTTGAAAATAATGTATAGAAAATTATAACATACATTTGTGGAAAATTTCAAGTACATAATATACGGTGAATAGTTTTTGAATTACAACAAAATAATAAAATCGTTCTATGATATGTTTTTAATTTACTGGTGAATATCCAATGTATATCAAAACTATCTTCGAACAATTATTATATAAAAAATTATCTTACTTTCCAGTAAACTTTTTTTTTCGTTAAATTTACGAAAGCTCATTAGTGTAACTATTGTGTGTATAAAATAAACTAATATACTTAAAAAGTTTCAAGTACCCACGAATCATATTTTTAAATTACAGCAAAATAACTAGATTTTAGTTGCTTAAATATCTAATTTCATCCAAATTTGAACTTAAAACGTCTATGAAAAAACTGTGTTTATATATTTTTAACAGTATGAACTATTTTTGAAAATCCTTGTATTAAATTTTCAAATCTTAGATGCACGTGGAAATTTTTTTATGTATTTCTAACTCAAAAATAGTTTAAAAAACGATTATAAATCAAAATTTCTTTATGCCTATAAATATCTCAAAAATAGTCAAAATATTTTGTAAATGTTTATTATAGTGCATAGAAAATGCCAATGAATTTCATGTATCTATTTTTTATAGAGTTATACCAAAAAACCAAATCTCTGCAGTTTCTCCTGACGCTTTTGAACACTATTGGGAATTTTTTACTTTTGCCCCCTAGGTACCAACCAGATTCACTTTCCTACTAGAAAATATGTTGGAGTATAAAATCAAAGCAAGTTTACTAGGTACCTCAAAAGTCAAAAGGTACAAAAAAAACACACATTATTGTAAAATTAATACAATAATCACTACGCTTAAAATCTAAAACACCAAAAATATATTCTATATGAAAATATGAAATAGGGCACAAGCAACGATGGAATTTTTAAAATACTCAAGTCTAAAAACACATTATTATTTATTATTAAATACGATTTCTAATAAATTAAATATAAAAAAAGCGGATAAGTAGATGTCGCTCCGCACTCTGCTGTACAGTAGCCAAAGCAGCCAAAGTTGAAAGTGTCCAAATACTGTGAGCATAAAAATACAACATTTCCAAAAATTAATATTCCAAAAATCACTTGAGAAGTAATCTACATTCGTTCCTAATGTTTTAATGAGTATACCGCTACATATAATTATTTAAAGAACCGGCCTTCTTAGAGCTCCTGATGGACAATTCCCGCATTAAATGCCGTAAAATTGCGACTCAAAAATGTTTTAATCAAAGATAGGAAGTGACCACACCGTATTATCTGCATCGTGTATATGACATATTATACTATTATTAAATGCAATAATATCATATAAATATATAATACTATTTAGTATTTACATTTTACAGTCATGAATCAGAATTACTGAATTTCAAATACGAGCAGGCTCGGATTAAGGATTAATTGGGCCCCGGGACACCATACGCTTAGTGGGCCCCCTTTCAACTTAAACTTCAAAATTATTGTATTATTACATATTAATGACTTTATATTATTGTATAACTTTTTACTATACAAAAAATATACAGAGTGTATCTTATGTCATTTTACGCGGGTTATTTATAACAATTATGGTATGGAATCGATGATATATGGAATTTCGTTAAAACAAAAAAAGATACGTGTTTCTTTATTTTTAACGGGCAATTTTTTTATAAAATTTTCAAAATGTTTAAACACTTAGTTGTACCAATAATAAAATCGAATTTATTTTTCCAAATGGTAACTCCTATATTTTTTTATGGATTCTGGTAAAGCTTTTTTTCTGAACATTGTGACAAAATAATGATCAATTTTGGTTCTCTAGGTTATTATGGTCCTCTGTCCTCTAAAGTTTAGTACCTATAATATGCATTAATATAACTTTTAACTGAAATACCTAATTTATAAGAGCTAAATATTTTTTTCTTATAACTACCTTCTTATATACCTACTTAAAAGTTAAAAGTTTAATAGTTAAATCGGTAATCTAAAATGTTCAAAATAAAAAAGGTGGGCAAGTGGGTGTCGCTCTGCTGTACAGTAGGTTACAAGTGGGTCATTGTATAATGGATGGTATTAAATTTGAATTCAATGATATAATATCATTGTATAAGAAAAACGATTCTGAGAGGAGACGGTATGTCCTTCTAGGTATAAGACATATTATATACATATCTATGGTATTAAAAAAATTGACCTATAATGAATTCCAAATTAATCATATCACAATATCCATTAGGTACTTATAACGCGTTATACACCAACAACAAACCCTGATACTATCATAGATATATATAGTAGATTACTTTAGAAATTTCAAGTACCCACGAATAATATTATACAATCACAACAAAATAACTAAAATCGTAATTCTTGGTTTAAATATGAAATTTTGTCTAAATTTGAAATTAAAATGTCTGTAAAAAATAAGTGTGTTTATATATTTTTTAGATTTTTTGGTTACAGTATGAATTATTTAAGAGAATCTTTGTTTTAAATTTTCAACTCTAAGTTATAAAAACTGAACATTTTATAATTTTTTAATTCCAACGATTGATAATTTTTGAGATTTTGATAAAATCGTGCCTATGTATTTTTAATATTTTTCAACTGATATTGTAACAATATATCAGGAGCCTTGTATTAAATTTTTACACTTTTTGGCCCAACAGATAAAACTTTATTGATATTTATAGAAAAAAAAACTAAAAAAAAATTGAAAGCTGTAAATGTCCATAAACAGCTCAAAAAGAGTCAAAATATTTTCAAAATTGTATGGTGTATAGGAAATGCTAATATAAACATTCAGTGAAATTTTCATGTATCTACAGTTATTCGTTTTTGAATTACAACAAAATAAGGAAATCGCTACATGAGAAATCGAGTGAAAATCCAATGTTGTAAAAATATGAATTTCAAACGCTCATAAAAATTTAATTTGACTGTCCGGTAAAGATTTTTTTATTGATAAAGGTAGATAATCTTATAAGGAATCTTGTGTTTCATTTTCAAATCTTAGATTTAAAAAGAAAAATTTTTACGAATTCTTAACTCAAAATAATTTGCTAATTTTCGTGATTTTTCCATATTTTGTCAATTTTTGAACTTTAAATGCTTATAAAAAAAAATTGTGACTAAGGATTTTTAATATTTTCCATCTGCCTTTGAAACAACATATTAGGAGCCTTCTATTAAATTTTCAAGCTTTCGCAACCAACAAATAAAATTTTATTGATATTTTTAGAAAAAAAACTAAAAAAAAAATGGAAAATGAAAATGTCCCTAAACAGTTCAAAATAAATCAAAATATTTTGAAAATGTTATCGTGTATAGAAAATGCAAATATTAACAACCAGTGAAAATTTCATGTATATACGTTCATTTGTTTTAGAGTTACACCAATACCCAAAATCGATTTTTTGCAAAACCAATTTTGCGTAAAAATTCCCGTTTTTCCTTAATTTTTATGTTGTTTTTTCCCGGCGCTTGTGAAAACTACTAGGAAATTTATACTTTTGACCCCCCAAGGTACCAACTAGATTCACTTTCCTATCAGAAAAGCTACTGATGAAGAAAATCCAAGCACTTTTACTGTCCTAAAACGTGATGACAGACAAAAAAAAAAAAAAAAATAAAAAATAAAAAAACACACATCATTGTAAAATCAATACATTCATCGTTTCACTCAGAATCTAAAACAAACAAAATTGTTGGCAAACATAGTTCATTATTTATAGTAATTTTTCGTGATATAAAATTAAGAACAATTTTATTTTAGAATTATTAATAATAATTTACCTACTATACCTACCTACTTAAATAATTTTTTTTTAAACTATTGTATGAGTTAAAAAATATATTTTGGGGATAATGATGCGGGTCCCCAAAATCAATGGGCTCCGGGATCGTGCCCCCCTTGGCCCCCCTTTTTTTCCTTGTAATTTCCTTACATTAAGTCATTAAGAACACTATTTTATACAATTTTAAAAAGGCCTATGGGGGGGATCTGACCCCCCACATCCCCCCCTTGTATACGCCCCTATGTTGCGGTAAGTGCAACCCTGGTAGGCAACGTTCAATAATTCGATTTGATGCAAGCTTGTACCTGATCTGCCCGAATAACCAATGACAACTATTAATAAATAAAAATAAAATTTCCAATTTGCATCGTGAACCTCAATATCCCTGTTTGAGCACCTATTTAAAATGCGAATTTCGGAAAATCCTTTCTTTTTGCACTGTAAAAATATGAGAAGAACCTCTATTCCAAAGTTCGTACGTTACGTGGTTTTTGAGTTACAGCGATCAGTGACTATTAGTCAGTGACTATTAGTGGTATTTGGATTTTATATGTATAATAGATATCTATGGTAAGAACACAGAACATATTATTATAATTTAGGTATATAAGTATATTACTCTATAGCTTAAGAGTCGGTGATTTTTCGATATTTTAATTTTCAAGAGAGAAATGCGAGATATGAGTCATGAGAATTAATTGAGAAATAATTCTCGTAATAATATGGTATGTGAAATACATCGAAATAAGTATATACTATAATATCGAAATACTTACAGAATTCTTTACCTCGATGGTGAAATATTACAAATAAAAAATGCTCATAGGTATCTCTTTTGAAAATTAAAATACCTGATAAACAGTTTTCAATTTAATCTTTTCCTCCATTATTGCCGTCTGGTATTTCTCTGTGTCGCCCATAGACCATAGTGCCCATAGACATATTTGTTTATTTTTTTTTATATGTTTACGGTGTCGCCGCTCGGATGTGTTGTCTTTTTCTTCTTTTATGGTTGATAAGATTAAATGATATCATTTCACGCGCCAAATGCCAATAGTATTAATTTTTTATCTTTCCAACATGTGAAATTTTGAATGTGATATTCATTCTGTGGTGATACTGCGAAATGTAATGCGATTCCTATTTATTAAGATAATAATAATTTGTAATAGTGTCTACTATGTCTACTATGCTATTATTATCTAGTTGCTATTGACAATTTTGTTATTTCTTGCTGTTAGGCATTTTATACATTATTTTTAGTTGTAATTACATGTGCTTCTGTATATCTACTGATAACATACATCGGTATAGCTCTGGGTTACCAGTGCCCATACGATTATTCGAATAGCTGGTACTTGCTAATGTTTTCTGTTATGTATCCGTTTGAAGCTGTATTCTTTAAATTTTAAAATGTGTTCATAGTATTGTTTAAAAATGATGGATCCTAATAATTTACCACACCATGTGTATCTGCACAAAGGCCACAAGTACAGATTGAAATTGGGATTTTACGCAGCGCCCAGCAATCCCAAAGCGTTTTCAAAGGCTATTAGAGATGAACTTCACAATTTAAGGTTTACATACTGTTCTGAGTAAGTTGAAAGTTCATATTGTTATATGTTATCTTATTTTTACATGCGGTTAATTTTTAATTATTACTTGTGTTAATTTTTTGTAGTTTAAATGGACTGATTATGGGATTTGGTAAAATAAGTTCTAACGAACTTATTCCAGCTGATATTAGACATTGCATCAATGTAGTCGTCAATGTTGATGTATATATATTCAAACCTCCAATTGGATCTATAATAGAAGGCAAGTCTTAAGAATGTAGAGTTCAGACATAATTATCAATTGTGAATTAGTCAGTAGGTAGGCTATTGAGTTGATACCTAGGTACTAATATATTTGGGTGCAAATGATTCAAGTACATACCCCTGTTTGCTAATTTGAATGTAAACCATCTAGTACCTATCAGTTTTAAATTCAAAATAATATGTTTCTTATACAGTAATAGTAGGTGTTCTCTTACATCTTGTTAGTTACTAGAAAGTTTACTTTATTTATATAAAATTACAGAAGTTTAACCTAAACATGTTAACCATGCCTTAAAAGATTTTCTAGTTATTAACAGGGCCGTATTAAGGGACAATGTATGGGGGAGCAAACATAAATATAATGTCCCTAATTCAGTATATGCCTTTTTTAACAAGTAAATAACCAAAAAAAAAAGTTCTACCTACTCTCAAACTAACATTATACAATAAACTTACAAAAAAACTATATGCTTACCTACTCATTAGTCTATTCTTGCTACACTTAGGTATTGCCTTTTACAATATATTAAAACACATGAACCAGATACAATTTATACAAATTAATAAAAACAACAAGTTATTACATACACTATATGTCTACATATCATTATTAATTTCAAACTCATGCTCATGGTATATTTTATATTCTATACCTAGCTATGAATTATTGTAATGATAAATGACTAAGGGCCATTCTTACAGTCAACGCTAACCGACTGATAACAGATTTTACTACCGGCAGAATTCGAACGGTTAAGTGTTGGTTAACTTTAACCAGTCATTGTAAGAAGGGCCCTAAGAGTCTGTTTTACAATCATAGTTTAAACCTCGGTTACGCCTTACCCACTGATTTTACCAGCTGAATTCGGTGGTTTAACCTTAGTTTAACGATTAGAATACGGGCACTAAGGAAGTAGCTATACTATGTTTAAAATATTAAATATTTTATTATAACAATAACATTATCCTTAAAAATTGACCAAGTTCAAAAATTGTTATTTCTTGAATAAATAAATAGTATAGGTACAAATAGATACATATACTAATAGATACAAGAATATAATAGATATTATAACCGAACAACAAGCTACAGAGTCTCGGTACTGCAATATAATGGTACATGGCAATATCGGTGCCCCAGCGGCTTCAACATGTCAATATAATATGTAGTGAATAGTAATAATATTAAAACTAGTACGATTAGTACGTAGCTATGAAAACAAGGTCAATAAACAGTATTCTCTCCCAATAAGTATCAATAGTTCTAATATTAGATTCCATTATGATTTTAGATATTCTGACAATTGACATTGTATATTTGTTAACTAAAATAATTAATATTTATTCTATACTAAATATTTTATTTTTATTATATTATAAATTACATTATTAACTTTTTTTTGCGGCCCTTAAATATTTGGCCTCCCCTGCCGCCTGGAACAACTGCTCCTTTCCCCCCCTCTTGATGCGCCCCTGGTTATTAAATACGTAATTTTATGTTATTCATCATATATTAAAAGGTTTTCAATAATTAAATTAAGAATAATATTGTTATCATCAAATATAATTTTAGTGTAGTGTAACATGTAGCTAAAAAAGTTTCACTTTTCTCTAATAGTTATTCATTGTTTTATTATTATGTATACAAGCTTTTATAGCATATAAATAATAAGCCATAAACATATAAGCTTATTTTAGTATCTCTCATAATTAGTCTCTCCTTGTTGATTTGTTCGTTTTAAGATATAAATAATTTATTATAATTATTGTATGTTGTTTTGGTAAATATAATAAAATAGGTAAAAAAAAATATTTTTTAACCTATAACAATTTAGTTTCATTGTTCCTGAATTTTGGTTTAACACGTTCACTGCGTACTGACGCCAATTGGCGTCATAAGTATCATTCAGCAACGCGTTTGACGCCATATGGCGTCTAATATACATTTAAAATAAATGGTTTAAAATTCCCTACGCGTGGCTGAATGTTATTTTATTATTATTTAGCGTGGATTAAACGCATGTTTTTAAATATGTATACATACGTCGTTATGAGCAATTTCTTTATATTTTTTTTTTGATTTCTTTTGTTTTTACTTTTATCATACGCACTGGGTGAAAACTGCAAAAAGACATACGCAGTCTACGTGTTAAGTATATTCCATTTTTTCTCAATTAATTTTTTACAAGTCTTATTGTTAAATTATAGGTAGGAATATATATTTTGGTAGTTAAAATTTTAAATAAAAATTATTACTTAAACCATATGAAATAACAGTGAATAATAAATAATATCAGATTAAAATAACGTAATAAAAATCTACAGATTTATTTGTATTATTAGTTTTTAACATAAAAATATTCTAGTTTTTGGGCTGGATACACACTTTTTTGTTTTTCTGGCCGATTTTTTGTATGATTTTTATTCTCATAGTTATTTATTAACAAAAATATATTTATGATTAATATGATTCATAGATTTCCCTTGTTGAGGAAAAATATTGAATAGTGTTTTTAACTGTAGGACTAAGACAACATATTTTGATGGAGTCTTTATCAAAACATTAAAAACAAATAAATCTGAATACTTTATTTTTAACAATGTTAACTGATTATTAGGTACCTTTCTGTTATCCCTAATACCGCGAGTCTCAATTCTGTTATCTTGACCACCTCGCCGACACCGATTTAGATAAAATCGATATAAAAACATAAACATGGACATAATTAATATACAAATACCTCACCAATACAGTCCATACTTTAATCGCACATACCCAACCTTTTTTTTATCATAATTACTGTTTATGAGGGTTTGAATATATAATTTTTACGATGTTGTATATTATTTACTAGTAATTAATCAAATTCAACAAGACCTTAAACCACTCAGCCATAGGTTCTTAACCGGGGGTCCGTAGATGGTTAGTCAGAGGTCCACTGGGTGACTGTGAGTTTTTTTGGATAACGCGAAAATAAATTTGTTTCGATAGCGTTTTTAAGACAACATTAATAATGTCTTGCCCGCATTCTGCCACTATGCAACAATCTTGTTGTGCTTGAAAATTAATTTGGTTTAAATTTCATTCAATTATTTCGATTCTACATTTTCGAAATCAGAAACATGGATACGCAATCCTTTTCTAGTGAAATTAAATACAATTAATGATTCAGACCTCGTTAAAGACGAATTAATTAATTTAAGATCAAAAGAAATGGCACATCAAGATTTTCAAACAAAAAATTTAATCGAATTTTGGTATTCGTTGACGAAGGCTTATCCGTGAGTTGTATCCATGGCAATGACATTTTTGATTCCATTTCCTACTACCGATCTCTGTGAGTATGGATTTTTTTACAATGGTCACAATTAAAATAAAGTAAGAAATTGATTGGACATTAAGGACGATATGCGTGTTGCTCTGTTCAATACGGTCCCAGATTTCAAGGCAATATTGCAATCAAAACAACAGCAAATGTCACATTATAAATTGGTTTTTGGCTATAAGAAAAAGTGATAATTCACAATAATTGAATATAGATTTGTAGAGTATTGACATACTCTACAACTACTGTACAGCAGAGCGGTACCCATTTGTCCACCTTTTTATTTTTATAAATATATATATTTAATATCTTGATGATTTTATGAGAATTTTTAATTTGACGTCTTGTGATAATTTTGATGATTTGATGTTATATATTATGATGAAAACTCTCCATTACTGTGATAACTAATAATAATTAATAAACGTTATACTAATACTATACAATATTTTTTTTATTTTTTTTTTTGAATTCACACTATTATAAATGGCAATTCATGTGTATTATGTATTAAAAATACGGAACTATCGGGGTAGTAGGTACTATTGTAGTCGTGTGAACACAATTGAGTAGTTGTGATAGTCGCGGCATCGAGCGGTAGTAGGGATAACAGAAAAGTACCGATTATTATTAAAAGCTGATTAATTACTTAAAAATAGTTGTTACCTTAAACTAAAAAAAATTGACTGTAGGATTAATTGAAAGTAGCCCACTGAGATTTCCGTTTTTTGAGTGAACCAAATATATAAACCGGGTCATTATTTTAGGAATTTTAGTTTCTACTACCTAACATATTTGCATTATAATTATTTCTGGAAAAATCACCAACTCAAAGACCACAAGCACCTTACCAAAAAAAAAATTTGGTAGCTACTAGCTAGCGTACCACTGATATATAGTATTTTATTTTATTCAAATGTAAGAATATCTTTGAAATAAAATTGTTCATTTAAAATATACTTACACAGTTTTTATTTAACACATTCACTGCGTCAAATAATTAGTTGGGACACGTTAGATGCGTCACAAAATATATCAATGTTCACTAGGAGCGTGCCACCAATTCGGACATTTTAATTAGTGTTGGAAAAATCAACAAAATAAGTTATTTATAAATGGATTGGACTGAAATAACAAAAAAATTTCTATGCAGAGGCGTGTGTAAAAAAAAAACATTACTCTAGTGCGTCTCTATTTTATAGCACATTTAATTCAACAGACTTGATGTCGCCTATATCCGACAGGCGCACCGTTCACATACCTACAAGTCGGCTATATCCGACAGACGCACCGTGAAAAAACCGATCCGTCGGATATAGCCGACAAACGCACCGAATGTGTTAAGTGGTCAGTGGTCATATAGAATTTTTAATAGTAAAATATGTTTAATTTTATTGTATGAATTTACCAGCCTATTATTGTGTTTATTCTTAATCTTATAATAGTTTTTTTTTTTTTTTAGCTGTAGTAAATCAAACTAGTGATAACCATGTCAGTTGTTTGGTGCACAATTTGTTCAACGTTTCAATAGTGCGACCTGAAAATAAACCGTGCGAGCAGTGGTCAGGATCTAAAATTAAAAAGGACGATAAGATTGATGTTAGAGTTTTATCTTTCGATCTCACAAAAAAACTTCCTCATATTACAGGCGAAATAATTAAAAAGTAATTTCAAAGTTAATTTGGTTGTAACATTAAAACAAAACATAATTATTCTAATTATTTACCTATTTTGTTTTAAATTGCAGGAATGATGATTGTTATGATCCTAAAAATAGAAAAAATAGTTCTTTTACGAAATCCTCATCCTCAAAAAATATTGTAAGTGATCTTACCAAATCTTTTAATAAGAGTACTGCAAGTCCTTCAACATATTCATCAAATGATTCTGAAAGTTCAGATGAACAGAACAATATGATAACTGAGTCTAAAATTTGTGCCGATGAATCTACAAAAGTATCACCATTATTAGTTAATACCACTATTAAACAGGTACAAAAAGAAGACACTGCAGTCAGTTCTTCCAAATTTTCATCAAGTGATTCTGAATCTTCAGATGAAATTAACAATATAATAAATTCTAAAATATGGGCTGATGAATCTATTAAAATATCACCATTATCAATTAATACTACTATTACACGTGCACAAAAAGAAGATGCTGCAGTTAGTTCTTCAAAACTTTCATCAAGTGATTCTGAATCTTCTGCTAAAATTAACAATATGATAACTAGCCCTAAAATATGTGAAGATAAATCTATTAAAAAATTACCTGTATCAACTAATACCACCATTCAACATCAGGATACTGCTGATAGTTCTTCAGAATCTTCATCATCTAACTCTGAATTTTCAACTAAAATTAAAGTTGAGTTAAAGAATTTTGAAGAATGCGATAAAATTAAATCTACTAGAACATCATCACGTATTCGCGCCAATGTTAACAATAGTAAGCACATTGAAAGTCCATTATATAGTTCTACTCCTATTTCAAATTCTGAACATTCTGTAAATAGTATCAATTTAATCAGAAACAAGCAACTAGAGCAATTAAAAAAACATTTGGCTAAAAATACTACTGAAAAACGAAAATCATTGGCTTCTGTTAAAGTACCTAATCAGTTAGCTAAGGATACATTTTTTAAGTCTTTAAACATTTCACAAAATACTAAAAATAACGATAACAATGATAATCCACTTGAAGTACTTGCTGCTTCGGTCAATCTTAAAGATAATTTGGGTAGTCCTAAAAAAATAAGTCACCATAGTAACCTCCTAGGTGATTCTGGTTTAAGTGACAGTGAACATAAAAACATTTCAGTTAGTAATTCATTTTCAAGGAAATCTGAAAATTCTACAAAATCAACTAAAAAGCATCGAAAATCAAATGAAATTATAGATGCAATTTTAAACTCAGTTAGTTTAGCCAAGGTGAAGTCTGATGCTAATATTACCAAAAATTTGGTTGATTCTAATAATGAATGTAGTAATAACGAAAAAGAAGAAAACACTATATATACTCAGCATAAATATAATTTAGATGAAGGATTGCTTATTAATCGCAAACACTGCAATGAACCAGCAGTTAAAAATTCTTTGACATTAAATTTGAGTACTAAGAATATTAGAAAAGAAGATACTCCCGAAAAAAAAAATACAGAAGACAATGAAAACCAAACTAAAAATTATATATCTAAAAAATTTCCAAATGTTACACTATCCATGATATCCGATTCTGATAGTAATTGTAGTAATGATCTGAAATCACCTGTAAAAGATTTAAGCCGTACAACTGATTTTAATAAAGAAATTGAAAATGACACTACTAGTAGCTCTGATGATGAAATTTATTCAAAACTTAGACAAAATATATCAAAAACACAAATAAATACAAAACATTATAATGAAAAACCTATAAGTCAATCACTCTATTATAATAAAGTATATTTTAGTACTGATGAGAGTGATTCGTCGTCCAAAATTTTTTATAATACATCTCAGTTGTCTTCAAAGTTAATTAAATCAAATGTAACAAATATATTAGAAACTGATGTTTGTAACAAAAGCAATGACAATAATTTGTTATCAAACAAAAAAACACTTAAAAAAAAAAAAAAAAAAAAGAAGTAAATGAAATATCTGCACCTCCTCAACCGTCCAAAAAAATTGTTAACAAAATGGACATTATTAAACACATTTTGGACAAAGATTCTAGTAGTGATGATGAAGTTACAACTCTTCTAAACAAAACTAATGATGAGAAAAAAAAAAAAGGAAAAGTTTCTAGAAAAAAATCAATTTTAAATGTATCAAAATTAGATGAAAATGATGGCTCATTAAATAAAAACATTTCAAACCCATTTTTAAAAATACACACTGAAAATATAACAAGCTCAAGTTCTGATGATGAAAGCTTTGTTTTAAATTTAATGAAATCAAAAAAATCATCTGGCAAAAAAAACACCATTCCATTAGTAAATGATGAAGAGAAAAAGAATATTTTAATAAATCAAGTGTTGACTTCTATAAAACGTAAAAATAAAAAACAAAAACAAATTTTACCTGTTTCACAGAATAACTCAAAAGAATCTGAAAGTAAAAAAAAACTTTTTAAAAATGATAAAATAACAAAAGATAAATCTATAGTTAAAACTAAAAATAAAAAAGATAATCTAAATATCTTAAAAAACTCTATTGGAGAACCAAAACCTTATGTGCCAAACTTAAATATTTCCCAAAAAGTTGACTCATCCCAATTAAATATTCAACCTTCATCCAATGAGAGTACCGATGAAGAAAAAGATGTTATTAAAAAAATTTTGAAAAACCGAAAATTTAAAAAAACTAAAAAAGTGTATGTACCAGAGCAATCTATTCAAATTAATATTTCAACAAAATCAAACGAACGGAATGAAATCAAAGGAAAATCAAAATCCCAAAATGTATCAATGGCAGATGAAGTGAAGAGTAATGATATAAAAAAAAAAATAAAGAGACCTAGAGAAACTAAGGATAACTTTTTAGATTCTATAATAAATGCTTTAGAAAATTCAAGTGATGATGTCCCTTCTAAAAAGAAAAAAAAGGATCATAATTTGACTATTGAAAAATCACATGGATCTAAAGATAAAAATTTGGTTGGTAATTTATCCGAGGTTAAAATTAAGAAAAAGAAAAAATCCAAACATAAAGACAATGATAGCTTAATTGATTTAATTTTAAAAGATAATAAAAAAAAAACTAATGATTCATGTTTTGAATCTTTGCCAAAAAATATTGAAGCAAAAGTAGACAATACACTTTTAAAAGTTTCAAAAAAAAAAAAAAAAAAAAAAGATCCGGTTTTCTATGAAACACAAAGTTCTATTACTGACCAATCAAGTAAAATAATTGATAAACTGGAAGATAATAATGTAAAACTTAAAAATGCTGGATCAAGTAAGAAAAAGACTAAAAAACTTGTGGAAAATCAAATGAATAATTTTATGTTAACTCAAGATCATAAAAATTTGGATAATTTGTATGAATTACTAAGCATCCATTTGACTCAATCTTAAGTTTTAACCATTCTTATGGTTAATTAACTAACCCCATGTTTTATATATAAAGTTAAATATTTTATTCGGATGTAATTTTTAAATATTGAATAATTATTTTATTAAAATTAAACTAAAAGGATGATAAAAATATGTTTTTTATATGTATTTATTTATTTATTTATTAATTATTACCCTATGACAGTGGCGCCGAAGTTTTTAAAATGTGGTCGGGCAATTTTAAAACTTCCCGACCTCAATATCTTAATTATTTAATATAGAGGTACCCTAATATAAATTTATTCTTAATCACGGTTTAAATTAACTCATGCTTATAATAAAGTTATGATGTAAATTAAATATGGCCGGCCGGCCACATTTTTCAAAAAAGAGGTCGGCATGGACTTCGGCGCCACTGCCCTATGATTTACAATAAGTTAACTTTATAGTTTTGAACTATTCGCATAGACTAAATAATAATATATTCTGTTTGTATTATATTTCTAGTTACATAAATCAGAACTGATTTTATATGTAATTGTATGTATTATATAAGATTTATAATTTATTGTCATAACCAAGTTTAATAACATAGTTATGAACAATTAAAATATGTATTCTGATGAAGGAACTCAAGACTCCATCCGTGCAAATGTTTAAATACTTATATTGAATTATACTTCATTAATCATCACTTTTAAATACAGAGTTGCACACTTGCACCCAATATAAATGTATAATATTATACATTATACATCATACACAATTGTAATTTGTAATAGTTGTACTATATCTTGTTGCAGTCAATTATATATTTTTTTTTTTTTAAATACATTTAAATTCAAACAAAAACATTTGTATGAAATAATTAAATAAACCTATCCAAATCAAATAAATACATAATATATGGAAACTTCTACCAAATATTAGGTACCATTTATTATTTATAATTCCAGTGTAGCAGTGTATATAAATATTTAAACTTCAAAGCAATTTTAATAGTTAATAACGAAAAACTACTATAATTTATTACATTGTTGAAAAATATAATTAGGTAGTTGCCAGTTGCCACTGTACAAACACTACAAACATACAATTTAAATATTTATTAAAAAAATTATTAAGTTATAATATAGTGTAGAGCCAACTCCAAACATCATAATTGTGTTTTGAAGGTTTTAGTGACAAATAAGGGGCTGATCTATAAATATGAATACAATCTTTACAAATGAACATATTAAAATGCAGATATAATAATATCACAGAATAAGACAATAATATAATAAGATAATAAGATAATATAATTTAAGTATGAAACACTAGGTGGGTATAGGCCCAGTATAGGTAAATGTACGGTAAAGACTAAACAATTGACTGCGCAAGTCGGAGCCTACCATCCGAGCACGTCCCATAGTAAAGTATATTATTTATATCCATGTGGCCATGTCCCATGACCAATGGCCATGTAATTATTACGTATAATTATATAAACATCTAAACATTCTAAACCACCATGCACGTCAATCACCTACGGTTTCGAAATGTCACTATTGGTAGAAAGAACAGATACACAGTCCTATAGAAATCCCATGAAAAGACCCGTCCGACATAAGCGACGCACTGTTCGACGAACGTGTTCGGGCGACTCGGGGCTGACGGATTCTTCTCATCAGCACCGGATAACAATTTTCCGCGGTCCTGCGCCTCCTCATTGGCGGAGTCCTTGGTCAGTGCAAATGTTGGCATCGCGTTCACGACGCCGTCGCAATCCATTTCTACGCGAAACGACGGCCACTCGCCGGAAAACTGTTTTCCATAAGCCACCAAATTGACGTCCTGCGGCATCGACAGGAACGTCCATCGTCCACTCAATCGATCCAGCGCGCGCCCGCAAACCGCCGACGCCGGTTGCCGCACTGCCAAGTCTAGCGTGTCCGCTATTGTTGACGATGAGCAATGAATTCCAACTGTTTCTAAAATCTCCGAACGCCGACTGTTGCCTGCAAGGTCGACGCCGTCCATTATTTTATATTACTGTCAGATTGTTGAGTCGATTCGACTTGACGGGTATAAGTTAATAAGTAAAGGTACCTATTTAATAATTTACTATGACGTGATGTGTTCAGGGATGCGAAAAGTACATGATATTATAATATATCTGCAACATTCAACGATGAACAATTATAATCCAACTTACCCACTCACCGATTGAAATTCCATATTGGTTAAAAAAAAACTGGGCCTATAATCTATAGGTACATACATTGGTATACAATATAATTACAATTTATTGTAGGCCGAAAAAACAAGACGATTATTGTGACATATAAATTATCTTTTATATTGGATATTGAGTGACAGACGTCAAAGTACAATACAATAATTATAAATTATTGATATTATTTTTTTACAGATAATTTAAAATAACAATTATAATTGTCGTTTTTTATTATACCATGGAGTTATATATTACACTATATAATATGTGCATAGACCATCTATGTGTATCGAGTATTTATTTTCTAATCGCTATAAACGTGTATAATATAGTTCTATACAACTACTGTGCTATATAAATAAACCTTTGACCTTTCTATTATAATAATGACTAAATTGACATCATCGATGACCAATAAAACGTTTAAAATTATTCTAGTAATCAGTCATCTTCTTTCGATTGGTATCCACGTTATTTCAGATACATATCACAATATAATACCTATTTACAAAAGTAGGTAACTACCTATAGTCGTTTACAATATACACTATACACTCACTAATAATATCTTATTATATTTATGGAAATATTTTTAAATTTATTCTATCTTTACACTAAAAAGGACACAAAAAATTAATTTAAAATTCGAATAATTTTTAAGTGAAAATTAGATTCACTTTCCTACCAGAAAATATGTAGAAGTAGAAATTTGAAGCATTTTTACTGCCCCAAAAGATAACGACAAAAAAAACACACATCATTGTAAAATCAATAACGTTTATCGCTCGGCTCAGAATCTAAAAATATTTTCAACTATACCTGTAGAATGTTTTGCTACAGACAGTCCTAAGTCTATAAAAATTGAATCGAAGATGTTTGAAGAAGTTTGACAGGACTCAGTTAGTAGGTATTAGATTTTTAATTTCAATTTCCTAGATAATATATATATTAGATATATATATATAATATATAGTACCTATATTATATTATTATCCATGGTATTTACTATTTAGTACCTATATGTAGGTACCTATGACCTAAAAAAACCGTGGTCCACGATCCGTGGACTCAATTCGTTCTATAAGGTCAATAAAACCTCAGTTCATAAGTAGCTGTAAAGTCTGCGCTGGTTGTCGTTTGTAGTTTGTATATGTATATCTCTATTGTTAATTTTTAACTTTTTCTAAAACAGTTGCACATATCGTTCGATTTTTAAGTTATGTATTGTTTACAGCTCTTCGATCGTTTATCTTTCTATGTAAGGGCCTATATTTAGTTATTCATTTTCCTAACGTCCTAACCTCATACAAGTACCTCACCTGTTGAGCGCTGATCCAATATCCAATATCAAACATTTTTCTCTCACTTTTTTTATGGGTGATCCCAGTGCCGTAGACAGGAATTTTTTATAGGGGTGGGGCTAAATATACAAATACAATAATATGTCTTTTATTAACACTTTTTATTTTTTTATTAATTTTGATAAAGTTCTAAGGTTATCATAGTCAATGGGGGGGCTATAGCCCCCGTAGTCACCCCCTGGCTATGCCACTGGGTGACCCTATATATTCCTTAATGCGTATGTTTATGTTAATATAATAATTCGAGCAGAGTATAAACATTTTTTTAGCGTTGGCAAGCCATGATTTGTTTTTTGGGATGGTCCTAAGTCTTTAGGTAATATAGTCACGTGTCACGCGTGTGTATATTGTATTATTCTGTATAAACAAAAAGAACGGATGTAATAGGTATAACCTATTTAAATGTGCAGTTATTTAACCTATTTAACAAGCCTGGAGTACTATAATCACTCTTAGGACGCCAGTTTAACCAAATACAAACCACTCACCTTGAAACACGACAGTCAAGATAAGGAACAAGTACCTATTACTATTTAAGTGCATATATAAATAATGAAATACTTAGTAATAGTAAATACTGATTAGTATATACTGTTTTTCAATAACCATTATTTTACTGCTCGGTGATTCAAAGTTATCTATACTTTACAATAACTAAAATTGTTCAATAAACAATTTAACGATTAATAAAAATAAAAATATTATCCACTGTAACTATAATGGCATTTGTTGTCGATGTTATTTTAAAGATCAATAAAAAAAAATTAAAAAATACTGTTTGTATGCTGCTGGTTTGATTACAAAAGATCATAATGGTGACATAAACGTAGCACGTTACTCGATATTATCCATTTTGAAGAGAATGTATGAATCATAAATATATATATTAAAATTATTAATAAATACCATTAATTGTATACGAATCACTGATGATTCGTCTCTGCCGTTTCGTCCCCATCAAATAAACCAGTCCACGGACGTTTGGTCCCCTGGTATTTTGAATCACTAAACTTAAATAGCTATTTTTTTGATTATTCTGAGCGGAGCGAGGAAGCTAGTGGATTTACAATGGTGTATATTTTATTTTATTGTATAAAAAATGTCTACCAAAAGGAGTGCCTCGGTTTCAACATATAGTATCTATCTTATCTTTTAGCAAAATGGATCAAGATGGTACTTTAAAGAGGTCATTTTTCGATTTTCTCAATAGTTATTTAATATCAACAAAACCACATATTATAAAATATATTAGGTACCAACAATAAAACTTTCATTATTCAAATTTATTTTTTAACAATAAATAAGTAAACTAAATAAGGATATAGTAGGTATACTAGCTGATCCCGTGCATTTCGTTTCCCGTTAAATTTACCAACTCTATATTACTCAAACTTTGTTTAATTCGTTATTTAATATTCGGTGTATGGTTTTCAAAATTTATCTTAACTTTTCCGTTGCCCGGAATAAAAATTCTGATTCGCAGCAGTATATTATCAGCATCAGGTATGCAATCTACCTGCCGACCCCGTGCTGTTTGTACGTAGTATAATATCAAAACACAGTGTACAAAAAAATTAAATGCATCGAATGAATACACTTATTTCATGGCAAGTCGGCAACCAATAATTATTATTATAATAGCTTTACATTTACATAATTAACTATTTTTTTGATAAATCAGTCACTAGTTATTTTAAATTTAAAATATCATACCATATAAAAATTATAAATTAATTATTCTTTTTCAAAAATATAAAAAAATTTTAGTTTAATTATTAAATTTAAATTCATTACCTAGTGCCCTATAGGCTATAGTGTTTACAAGATAATTTTCATCAGTCAAATTTAATATTTAAATAATATTAATAAACTATGCCCATAATGAGAATTTCTTATTTTAATTTATTTGTGCATCCCTATATATTATGGTAAGAAGTTACCTCGAAAATGTAATGTGTCATAGTTTTGGCTATACCTAGTGTACATATTAGTACATATACGACGTTGATTAGTCAGTGAAGACATCTTATTTTTATCTTGTTTTACAATAAGATATTCATCTGTCTTTGCAGTATCTGTCGATGATATAAATACATTTAAACATGTTTTTTTGGCTTACTACGTTCGATGACTAAATTAATTTTTAATTTTAATTTTAAATAATAATGGATAGGGACTAATAGTGATTAATGGTTTAATACTAATTGCAGTGTCATATTTATCAATGGGTCCCCCCATTTCCTGATCACCTTTTTGTTTTGAGGCCCCGCAAGACAAAAACCTAAATACGCCACTAACTAATTGTCTTTAAATAATTAAATCATGAGGATGTCCACGTTTAAGGCTGTGTTGAAGAGGTGGTCTTACATTGAGGTGGTAGTGCATTATAGTTATAGAACTTGTTGAATTGTGATTGGACTTGAAGAAACTTTATTCCAAGGTTTTGAATGTGGTCTTGAAGATTTGGAATTTTGAGGTATCTGATGTGTATGTTTAAGTTTCTTACAAACTATGGAGCATTTGTAATTGTTCTTAAGGTTTTGTTTTGGAATATTTATAGATTTTTGAAGTATTTGGGTCTGTACCACGGACTAAGATATAATAGATATTAGATACGGACTTATATATTAGTCCGTGGTTTGTGCACACTTATCCCAAATAGGACAAGCCTATTATACAGCAGATACGGTTCAGATATACTTGCTTATATTTATTGTGTAGTTGAGTAATTAATCATAGTTACTAAATGGCAGCATTCATAAAAATCAAACTTAATCTATGTACCCTTTAGAATAACTAATGAATATATATTTCAAGTTTCATGAATATTGGTTCAGTAGTTTCGGAGGAGATGGCAATAACAAATATCGTTGAACTGGGGGATAGTATAGGGATAGTATACACTTCGCTCCATCCAATCATAAACTGATCGCTACTTTCTATATTTTTTTATTTTATTAAAACGTTAAAATGAATATCTTAATTTTTAACTACTTCTATAAACTGTGCGGTTTCCCTGCAGCGTCTAGCGTCAATACTACGCCGATCCGGACATAAGACATCCGCCGTGCTGATCCATTGTTTGACGCCGTAGGGAAAACGTACCTTTACACTATTTTTCTATTTATTATTAGGTATATGAGTATATCGTATATAGTTTATGGTCTGTACTGTCCCAAATACGAGTTACAGTTTGGGCACCTGTGGTTGACAACATTGCACGAGTCCAAGCAGCAAGGAATTAGACAGCATCCAAAAGAACATCTAAAAATATATATAATTTTACATAGGTAATAGGTAGGTATACAATTAATCAATATCCACTCATTAAATAAAAAAATTTCAATTCTGTAGAAATAGTTAACAAACGTAATAATAATAATAACTTCATAAACTTATAATAATTATAACAATTATTGTCAATTGGTTTCATAAAAAATTTAAATTTCGGTTCAATGCTCACCCACAAATACACATTAGTATACAAGCCCACCAAGCAGAAGATTTTGCTTTTCTAGAAGTACTGGTAAATATTGTCCGGCCACATGAAGTGCATATAATTTGGGCACTACTTGGGCCTAGCGGTGCTGCAAGTGCAGGCGATTGAACCCCTATCCAATCACAAAGAAAACAAAAATGATTCCAACTTTATAATATTGTAATAATTAATAAAAAAAATCGTATTTAGTATGGTCTATGGACTATGAGTTATGACTTATGACCATAATATCATATTATTATCATTAATATGTTCATTGTTTATATATTTGATACGATGTACTCACATTTCTCCCTATTCCCTATTTTTAGATGATATTATACAAAACCAATAATATAAGTAAGGCAATTGCGTCATTTCTAATGAAAGTATGAAACAGGCATAGGAATTAAACCTACATACCCTGGTTGTGGCCAAGGAGAGGGGCTTGGGAACTTGGCAAAAACCCATAATAAGAGAACAAACATATTAATTAACAACAATAAAGGCAGGTCAAAATGTAGATAGGTAGCTTCCCATCTAGTAGGTAAAATCTGAAATAAACCAAAGAAGGGATTAACATATTGACATATTGTTATTTCAACTTAACAAAAAAAACACTAATAGATAACACTATGATGTGGTGACACTCACGAAGGTATTTGGAACAACTTTGTGAAAAAAAATTGGAAAAATGTTAAATAGCGTCGTCACAAAATTGGTACATAAAAAAGGCCTGTTCTTTTATATATATATAAGGATAATGTAAAATAAGATGCGCTAAAAAAATTAAGCCAGTAGACAAGCATGCTTTTTACTTACATTGAATATTTTGTGGAGGAGCTGATGGTATCATTTTGTCTTACTTTGGTGTTAAAATCAAATTAGTTTCAAGAGTGAAATAAATAGTTATACCTAGCAACAATATTACATTTAAACATAAAAGTTAAATGTTAAGATTTTATGTAAATTGAAAAAAATTGAATACAATTGAACAGTCTAAATACTTGAACGTGTGTGATTGATGAATAGCTATGACAATATCATATGCGAATAACGGATCGTATTTGAGTGAGTTGGTCGTAGTATGATGATTACATTTAGTATTTAGTATTTTAGTACATATAGTTTGATAAGTGTCAAGTGATGACACATGCGCAGGAACTTAGTACCAGCTACTAACCACTTTTAGATTGTTAGCGGAGAATGAATATATTGATTTTGCAATGGTGAGGTTTCTGATTATGGAAAATTGGATCTAGTTTGTGCTTTGATGGGTCAACAGTACTCTTTAATCGGACAAAAAGAAACTACGAAAATGGTTAAAATTGAAATATTATTATTTTTTTAAATATTATTTTTATTTTTTTACCTTGTATATGTTTTATAGGTACCAAAAAAATAGACCGTCTCCGCCCAGAATTATTTTTATCGTATATACAAATATACAATGATTTATTATTGATTTCAAATTTTTACACATATCCACTTCAGGTACCAACTTGATAACAACGTAACACTAACAAAATTCAAGCATTTCAAAACGTTGCTCTAAGAAAGTTAACAAATGCACCTCTCTACGTCTCAATTTTTTCTTACATTCAGATCTTAAACTCATAAGCGCAACTAGAGGGGGGGCTTAGCCCCCCCCAAAATAAATTATTTAATTGATTTTTAAAATATTAATAAACCTTTAAAAATGCAGCTGTATTTACCTTTTTTTACAAATTAATATAGTAGGTATTTTAAATTTTAATGTGTTTTTCAGGATTTATTTGAAATTAATAAATGTGATCTTAAAAATGAAATGGCTGTCTTTAGAAATTCATACTGCAATAATGAAAAAACAGATAGCTTTAGTGTCATTCAAGAAAATTTATCTAAAAAAGTATTCCCAAATTTTTATAGGATGGTTCAAGTTGCCAATATATTGCCAATTTCTTCTGCAACATCAGAGAGTGCATTTTCTGCCATGAGGCGAATTAATACGTACTTCAGATCTACAATGGAGCAAGATAGATTTCGTAATTGATCGATATTGAATAATGAAAAAGATGTAGAAATTGATCCTGAGATAATTTTGGAATAATTCACAGCCATCAACAAAAGAAAAATGAATCTTATATAAATATATAATATCAATAACTATTTTACAATGCATATAAATAAAATATATAATTAAAAGTAAATGTTGATATTAATGGTGTTTAAATTTTAAGATGATGGATCGGGGGGTGTGGGTGGCATAGCCCCCCACGGGTTGCTTTTGGTATAATATTGAGGTGGGGCTATAGACCTAAGATTTTGTGCTAGTTGCGTAACTGCTTAAACTAAAAACAATAAGTGATGAATCTAAATGTTTCTATAAAAGATTCGACAACCACCCAAGTAGGTACTCAATTGAATTCCCTTATTAAAAATGTGGACTCCCCTACTACACTTGGTAATCCCCCAAAACGCCTAAAGCGCAACATTACTGGTGTCGTGATTTGTTATAAAAAAATAAGAACAAAAAAAAATGGTGGGCAAGTGGAAGTCGCTCTGCTGTACAGTAGGTTACAAGTGGGTCACTGTATAATGAAAGGTATTACATTTGAATTCAATGATATAATATAATTGCAGTATACGGCAAACGATCCTGAGCGGTGAAGGTTTGTCAGTGTGAATATTTTTTATTATATTTATTAATTAATATTGTTATTACTTATCTCTAATACTGTAGCCGGGGAAATTTAATTAATATATTATACAATTACAACAAAATAACTAAAATCGTTATTCTTGGTTATTTAATACGTATGTAATTTCCTCCAAATCGAACTTTAAATGCTTATAAAAAAAAATTTATATTTTTAATATTTTTCAACTACTATTTAAGAAATATATCAGGGGCCTTGTATTAAATGTTGACAGTTTTTGGCCCTACAACATTTTTTTATTGATTTTTATAAAAAAAAGAATTAAAAACATTGAAATTATTCACAATTTCATGTCCGTAAAAAGCTCAAAACAAGTCAAAATATTTTCAAAATGTTATCAAGTATAGGAATTTATAAAATAAACATATGATGTAAATCTCAAGTGTCTAGAGTTATTCTTTTTTGATTTACAACAAAATAAGTAAATTGCTACATGAGAAATCGATTGAATATTCAATGTTGTTCAACTTAAAACGCTCATAAAAATTTAATTTGACTTCTTATTGGTATTTTTTATTTTTTTTGATAAAGGTAGATAACCTCATGAGGAATCTTGTATTACATTTTGAAATCTAAGATTTAAAAAGAAACTAACTCAAAATAATTTGCAAATTTTCGTGATTTTTACACGTTTTGTGTAAAAATCGAACTTTTAATGCTTATAAAAAAAATTGTGTCCATGGATTTTTATATTTTTCAAATGTCATTTGTAACAATATATTAAGAGTCTCGTATTAAATGTTCAAGCTTTCAACCTAACCAAAAAAATAAAATTGTATTGACATTCATAAAAAAAACTAAAAAAATGGGAATGTCCGTAAACAGTTAAAAACAAGTCAAAATTGCATCTATCTACGGTAATTTGTTTTAGAGTTACACTAAAAACCAAAATCGACTTAGGCAAATACCAATTAAATTTTTCTATTTTTTATTTTTCATGGCGCTTTTGAAAAGCGGAAAAGGGAATATTTACCCTCCCCAATACACCAACTAGAATCACTTTCCCATCGAACAAGATGCTGAAGTTAAAAATCGAATCATTATTTTGACTACTTATTGTGTACACAGACTCAAAAAAAAACACATCATCGTAAAATCAATACATTAGTTGCTCCTCTCAGAATCTAAAAATTGTGCATATGTATTTTATAAATTATATATATTTTATACATTTTTAACTACAAAATTATGTTTAAATTTTAAATTTGATAAATGTTGTCAAAAATCGACACTGAAATGCTTATAAAAAAAATTGTGTATATGTATCTTTAATATTTTTGAATTTCTATTAAAACAACTTTTAAAGAAACTCCTATTAAATTTTCAAGCTTTTTGACCCAACGAAAAAAAATTTGTATTGATATTTAATATTTATAGAAAAAAAAGAAATTCAAATATCAAATGTCTAAAAATACCATGTTTAAAATACCATTTATAGAAAATGATAAAATAAACATTTTGTGAAAATTTAAAGTACCTATATCTACAGTTGTTCGTTTTTTAATTACAACAAAATATAAGGAAATCGTCCGATGAGAATTAATTTTTTTTTCCAATGGGGATAGTAGTCAGAAGTCAAGAAATACTTATAAGTTAAACAAAAATAAAATACAAAAACAAATAAAATATATATACTAAATAAACAATAATAATATGGTAATAAAAGTAACGTATGAATAATGTTTTTATATTTAATCTGTATAGCTTATTAATATTGTTGTTTGTAGGTTGTAAGTTTGTTATGTCGCATTTGGTTGGGCAATTGTTGCAAATTAGTAGGTGTGCCAATGTCTGGAGTCTGGAAGTCTGGACCCCTCCATATACACAGTAAATAGTTCATGTCTTCCTTTCCATCGATTATTCCTCATTTTATCAGGTTCTCTCTCGTCCATCTCACTCAGTCACTCCTGTATACGTAAGCGATTTAGAGTACTCCAGAGTCCAGACTATCCATTTGTTGTTGTCTCTCGACTTGTAGCTTCTTGTTTTCTCTACCTCCCAACATTTTAATCTTGCTGTCTGTGGCACTATGGGTAGTCTTGGATTTTCTAGTTTATTTGTGCATTTTAGCAGTGGCGTATTTGAGATAATTTTTTATGGGGGGCAAAATACGAAAGTCTCTCAGCTTTACCATTACACTGATCAATAGCCGTCAAATGCATATTTTATTACATCTCTTTTGTCTACTTCTATTTGGTGGGTGGTGGGCGCTGGCTCTATTCCTGCTAGAGGACATAGATTTTCTACTGGTGTCGCTTTTAAGCAGCCTGCCGGTCAAAATGCGTACAGTCAGTTATAAATGATAATGATAACGTGGTATCTGCAATGTTTGTTTAGTGTGTGTTGACGTGTTGATCTACCCCACGCCGGGCATGCATAACCGGTCACCGAAAACCATAGAGCTAGTACAGAAAATATCTTTTACATTCTTCCCTTTATAAGCCTCAAAATAACGCTGTGTATATAGAGACCCAAAGGCCAAAACTAACTTATAGATAATACAAGGAATAAATCATTTTCTTGCATATGCGGATATGTTACCACTTACCTGTATGTAGGTGTTGGAATTATGGTCGGCAGAGTCCTACCCCCACCTCCACGTGGTTCCGACTGTAAATGGAATTCCGGTTCTAGCCAACGGGGGAGGCACAGAAGGCAACTGTATAACACCAAACACCGGCGGGTCAACACCAGCGACCAGAAAAGGCCACTATCGCCCTCCAACTACCGACAACACAGACCGAAGGCTCGATGCATAGACGACCGGGAAGGTTAGACGGGGACCGACGGCTAGTACACCCAGCGCCTCAGTATCATTATCCGAAACTGCCCTACAGCAGCAGGCGTGCCCCGGGGCATTAGTAGGATACCCACCGACGGTTAGTCACCGTTCGGGTGATCTTTGATCTGAGAAAGGGCTGTAAGTCGAACGCCTCAAGTCTCCGCCGACAGGGCACTCAACGCACCGAGCAGCACGAACCAACGGACGGAGTTACCAGAAGGAAAACTGAACAAACCCATACCGGCGGTCCACGACCAGAGAGGGCCAACATCGCCCCCATCCGACACAGACAACAGCCGAGGACGGATTCCGGGTGATGAGCGGAAAGCAGCAGAACAACGGTGCAACTCTCCACACCCCGAAAACTCAGCCGAAACTGTCGACAGTGGGTTGAGGGCTCGCTGCGCAGGAGTAAGACACCCACAGCACGACTTGCCATCGTCAGAGTGACTGAGGAAGTAGGGGCTGCAGACGCAGACACCTATACGCGACGCAGCGACTCGAGCGGATCCCGGAACGACGACAGAACACAAGGACGGAGACAGAAGGAAAACTGGGAAACCAACAACGGTGAGGAGCATCCTCCAGAACACCATAAGGAGAAGGATGCGCAGTACGAGTCTCGAGGCCGGCTGGCTTTCAAGCCGGGCCAAGAACACAGGAACATGACTTTCCGACTGGCGGGCACCAAAGCCGGGCCGGGAAGTAAAAAAATGCAAACAGCGGGCCTTAAGCCAACAATGATATTTTTATTCCCTAAAATTACCAATTATTTTAAATGTGCGCCCATAAAGGGACAAAAAAACAAAAAGGTGGGCAAGTGGGTGTCGCTCTGCTGTACAGTAGGTTACAAGTGGGTCACTGTATGATGGATGATATTAAATTTGAATTCAACGATATATTATCATTGTATAAGAAAAACGATTCTGAGCGGAGACGGTATGTCAGTATGACAGTATAGGTATAAGACATATTATATACATTTATCTATGGTATTAAACAAAAAATTTACCCATAATAGGTACCTACCTATAATAAATTCCAAATTAATCATATCACAATATCCATTAGCCATTAGGTACTTATAAGTAGTTATAACACGTTATACATCAACAACAAACCGTGATACTATCATAGATATATAGTAGTATACTTTAGAAGTTTCAAGTACCCATGAATAATATTATACAATCACAACAAAATAACTAAAATAGTTATTCTAGGTTTTTTATTATGTAATTTCGTCCAAATTTGAATTTAAAATGTCTGTAAAAAATAACTGTGTTCATATATTTTTTAGATTTTTTGGTTACAGTATAAACTATTTATGAGAACCTTATTTGTTTTAAATTTGCAATCTTTATTTACAAAAACTGAACATTTTATAATTTATTAATTACAATGATTGATAATTTTCGAGATTTTGATAAATTTTGTCAAAATTCGATCTTTAAATGCTCATAAAAAAAAATTGTGCCTATGTATTTTTATATTTTTCAATTCCTACTGTAACAATATATCAGGAGCCTTGTATTAAATTTTTAAACTTTTTGGCCCAACAGATAAAACTTTATTGATATTTATATTTTATAGTAAAAAACTAAAAAAATTGAAAACTGAAAATGTCTGTAAACAGCTCAAAAAGAGTCTAAATATTTTCAAAATTGTACAATGTATAGGAAATGCTAATATAAACATTCAGTGAAATTTTCATGTATCTACAGTTATTCGTTTTTGAATTACAACAAAATAACAAAATATGAATCGTATACTATTTATATTATTATATAGACTCACCTTTTAAGGTATTTTCATATCTAATAACATTTTTATTATATTTAGTGGTAATTTTGTCATTATTTTTATTGACCAACTCGAGAGTCTTCTTTAGTTCATCGTAACACTTCATTAGAGAATCCATTTTTCTATTGAATCCCACCTTTAATATCTTAAAATATTTAAAATTAATCAAACGAATATTGAGACAAACCGATTTAAATTTTAGTAAAATTTAATAATAATTTATACTCAAATAAGTCCAAATATGTGGGTTTTATTCATTAGGTAAGGTGTTCTATGTCTAATTACTTAGAATAATTAATTAGTTATTTAGGTGCGTCTTTGATGGTTTATTAGGTAAAAATTATATCATAAATGGAAGCCTTTATCATAAAATATAAAAAAAGAAACGGACATCCTCAACGCTGTTACCTATAATTGTTGGCGTGGTGAACTATTTTAATTAAAGGAGCAAAATATATTTTATCCATCCACCCACTCATCACCCACTCATAACAGGATGTATCCCAACAATTGCAGATATCTCATCTCTCAAGCTCATGATTTAGAAGCAATAGGTTATTAGGTACATTTTACAATAATCTACCTGCTACCACCACCACCACTAGTCACTACCCCCAAAAATCTACGGAGTTCTGGTTTAAAAAAACTGCCTTGCCACGCCACTGGTATCTATACTAGGTAGATAATACTTACTCAATTGTAATAGGAGTAAGGACCAATTATATGTGATTGAAATTCTTAATATAGGTACCTACCTATTTGATAAGTGATAAGCTTGTGAATCTTCAATAACAAAAATAGGTAGATAAGCTGAAAATAATATAGTTACTATATACCTATACTATACTAATAAATCACAATAACTTTTACCACTGCGAGTGTACACTGCCACTGACTGTGTTTAAATGAGTGTTAGTAAGTATAAGGTAACCTACTTGGGGTTCGTTCGATTTTTGTACGATGAATTATTATTATTTGATTTATTTTTGTCGGTTAAATTTCCTATTATATTACTATGGGTACCTATAGTCTATTATATTATAGCCAACTATTATCAGAAACAAAATACTGTATTGACTATATTTTATTAACTTCATATACAGTTTTTGAAATTATCTTAAGTTATGGAAATAGAAAAGTCCCTTATCTTTAGTTATTTATTAATTATATTATATTATAATTATAATTACCTACTATCTATACAACCTATCTATAATACTTATATTAATGTTTTCCACCCCAAAAAATGTTAGTTTAAAGTTTCTTACAATTATTTTTTTGGGATAAAATTATGTCCATTTTGAATTTTCCTCGAAATATCAAAATATTTAGCTAATATTGTACCTACTTGTCAGTCGGCACCAGTGTTGAAGTGTTGTGTGTAGCGGACCTTCCCCGCTTGAACAATTTTTTTTACCGTGGAAAAGCTGGCTGTAAACATACAAATATATACTAGGTACTCTTGAACATTTAATAGAAGCCTCCTAATATATGTATATTGTTTCAAATGAAGATGAAAAATATTAAAAATCCATAGTCACAATTTTTTTATAAGCATTTAAAATTCAAATATTGACAAAATACGTAAAATTTACTAAAATGTGCAAATTATTTTGAGTTAGAAATTCTAAAAAAATTTTCATTTTAAATCTAAAATTTGAAAAAGTAATTCAGGATTTCTCATAAGTTTGTCTACATTTATCAAATTAAATTTTTATGAACGTTTGAAGTTCTTATTATTACATTAGATTCACTCGATTTATTCTAATGTAACGATTTTCTTATTTTCAATTTTGTTATAATTCAAAAACGAATAACTGCAGTAGGTATAGGTACATACAATTTTCACTGAATGTTTATTTTATAAATTCCTATACTTGATAAAATTTACAAAATATTTTGATTCGTTTTAAGCTGTTTTTCGGATTATTTCAAATTCAATTTTTTTAGTTTTTTTTTTTTTATGAAAATCATTAAAGTTTTATTCGTTGGGCCAAAAAGCGTGAAAACTTGATACAAGGTTCCTAGTATATTGTTACAATAATAGCAGTTGAAAAATATTAAAAATACATATGCATAATTTTTTTTTATAAACATTTAAAGTTCAATTTTCGACAAATTGTATCAAATTTAAAATGTAATAATTATTGTGTATTTAAAAAATGTATAAATTGTTCACTTTTATAACTAAGAATTGAAAATATAAAACAAGATTCCATGTAAATAGGTTATATATAACTCCTGTCTGACCGTCTTTACTTTTTACTATTGTTTTTCTTATACAATGATATTATATCATTGAATTCAAATTTAACACCATCCATTACAGTGACCCACTTTGTAACCTACTGTACACCAGAGAGCGACACCCACTTGCCCACCTTTATTTTGAAACGAAGTTTTTTATGGCACGATGTGGGGCTAGTCGGGAAAACACGTTCCTGATGAAATACTATTTTTTATAATATATTAAACAGTTATCTTAGCCAAAACATCCAATTTTCATTCCATCATACTCATCGATCTAGTAATGGAATAATACTTTTTAAAACAGAATTCAATTCGTTATTATGTCTACTTGAGATTGGTCAGTCCACTTTTTCCAATTTCACCCCGCCAACCCTTAAAAATTTAGCTTGAAAATTTTAAAATTTCGAAATTTTCAAACGTTGATTATTCTGGATTTATTCGAAATTTAAAGCAGAAATCTTAAAATGTTTAGTGACCGATATCTAATAAGATAAATTCTAATGAATTCGGATCAGTTTTCAGAAATATTATCAGGATGGAACAAAAAAAAAAAAGGTGGGTAAGAGGATGTCGCTCTGCTGTACAGTAGGTTACAAGTGGGTCACTGTATGATGGATGGTATTAAATTTGAATTCAACGATATAATATCATTGTATAAGAAAAACGATTCTGAGCGGAGACGGTATGTCAGTGTATGTATAAGACATATTATATACATATCTATGGTATTAAACAAAAAATTGACCTATAATATAGGTCCCTATAATAAATTCCAAATTAATCATATCACAATATCCATTAGATACTTATAACGCGTTATACATCAACAAAAACCGTGATACTATCATAGATATATAATAGTACACTTTAGAAGTTTCAAGTACCCACAAATAATATTATTCAATCACAACAAAATAACTAAAATAGTTATTCTAGGTTTTTTAATATGTAATTTCATCCAAATTTGAATTTAAAATGTCTGTAAAAAATAACTGTGTTCATATATTTTTTAGATTTTTTGGTTATAGTATGAACTATTTATGAGAACCTCTGTATTGAATTTGTAATCCTTAGCTATAAAAACTGAACATTTTATAATTTATTAATTACAATGATTGATAATTTTCGAGATTTTGATAAATTTTTTCAAAATTTGATCTTTAAATGCTTATAAAAAAATCTGTGCCTATGTATTTTAATATTTTTCAACTGCTATTGTAACAATATATCAGGAGCCTTGTATTAAATTTTTACACTTTTTGGCCAACAGATAAAACTTTATTGATATTTATAGAAAAAAAAAACTAAAAAAATTGAAAGCTGTAAATGTCCATAAACAGCTTAAAAAGAGTCAAAATATTTTCAATATTGTATGGTGTATAGAAAATGCTAATTTAAACATTCAGTGAAATTTTCATGTATTTACAGTTGTTCGTTTTGGAATTGCAACAAAATAAGGAAATCGCTATATGAGTAATCGAGTGAATATCCAATGTTGCAATTTGAATTTCAAACGTTCATAAAAATT